GGGGGAGACCACTGTGGCAGGGGAGAGGGAGAGGAGAGTCAGGGAGGGAGGGAGGGATGCTGGTGAAGCCGCGGATATTCATGAAGACGCCAAGTGTTTTCTCTCTCTCTCTCTCTCTCTCTCTCTCTTTCTCTCTCTCCTCTCGCCATGGTGACACACTGTGAGTCTGCAGAGAGACAGAGGGAGGAAGATGGAGACAAGTGAAAAGAAAGACGAGGCCCAGCCCATCTTCCCATTGATCTTGAGGCGACCAAGGTGAGTGTGTTTTTATTCTTCCATGCTGCAGCCTCCCTGTGTGTGTGTCTGTGTGTGTGTGTGAGTGTGTGTGTGTGTGTGTGTGTGTGTGTCTGTCAGACACAGGCATGATGGCAGGGCAGTCCTCTTACATGTGTGTTTTATTTGTGTGGGTACATATTGGGGTGTTCTGTAGAAGAGCCGGCTGCATATTGATGCATTGCTGCTTGGTTTTGTAAGCTGCTTTATCTGTTGTACTGCCACAGTCATGGTGTGTGTTTGTGTGTGTGTGTGTGTGTGTGTGTGTGTGTGTGTGTGTGTGTGTATGTGCTCCTATGTCTCATTGTGTGTGCATATATATATATATATATGTCACTGTGTCACTGTGCATTTGTTGATTTCTCCACGCACACACCTGATTTTATTATTATTTTCAGACTCCAGTGTGAAAGTCCTTCCCGGTGAGCGGGTGTGTTCTTAGTGACCCTGGGAAAGTCGTCTCCCACCGCTGTGTCTGTGCACCAGCTCAATCATAAACATTCCAATATGCTGGAGCCTTCCTATCCAATGGAATTAGGTCAGCCCAGACTGCTCAGAGTAATTATATAACATCACACAGCTTTGGCGTTGCAGTATCTGCTCAGAATTAGCCAAACTGAAGGTACAACAGCTCCTGCAAGGCCACGACAGACAAAACCTGTTGTCAGGTCGGCCCTCTCTCGGATTCTTTTAATAGCCCAGCAAACATTTGTTCGGGAATTAGCGAACAAATTTAGATTTTTATTCATAATTTCAACAAGTAATTCGGAGAAGTTGGCATCTGTTCCCTCACACACAGTGTCTGTGAGGTGGTTATGTTTCCAAGGGACTACTGTGTGTGTGGTGGAGGATTTTCTCATGTTGAATGATGCATAAAATGAACGAGATTAAAGCAGGACAGTTAGTTCTGAAACGAGGGAGGAAGGTGAATTCAAGAGGAAAAATCAGCTGACGATTCTCCCGCTCCTACTTTCTCAGATCGTATAGATTAGACACTTAATTGATCCTGAGGGAGATTTAAACTCTTTAATGTCTGTTTTCTTAAAGGGAATCTTCATAGGAGAGGAGACACTGAGACCACATCAAAGATGGATCCAGGGAAATCAAACCCGAAGTTCTGACCTCTGGATTTCTCAGAAGAGACGAGCGTGTTTAACTCTTCTCCCTCAGCAGAGTTTGGATCCGTGTGACCGGTCGGACGGATGGAAACCTGATCTGAGACAATAGAGACCTGGCATAGATTCTTTTTTTGGATTCTCAATCATTGTGTAAACTGGATTCATGTTGGATCAGGTTTACATTTGGGGAAACGTCCAGCGAACAAAACTCCAGGTTGGATAATTATTCCAGAAAACATGGGGAAATGTTTTCTTCAGCAGCGACATCGTGAACTCTGACCAGGATATCTCGTTGGCTTGTGTACCCAGAGGAGGACGACATGGAGACGCACAGAAACTTGTAGCTTACGCTTAAAATGGAGTGAGAACTTTTTTAATTCTTCCACATTTGGTTTTGGGGGAAAAAAACAACAAATCAGAGCAAAGGACATAAACCTCACACGAGACCTGGACCCTCTGTGGGGCGAATACATGCACCTTCACTTTGCAGCAGGAGGACATCGGGTTTCAGCCGACTGAGGAGCGGACGGAGCGCGAGCGAGGCGGTCGGCTGGCTTCGAGTCAGCTCCAATGGGGGCCGGTTGTGACCCGGTCTGACCCCGGTTTGACCTTGCAGTGACCTCTGACCTCTCCGGTCCTGGCTCTCCACCTGCTCTGCTGCCTGGGTTCGGGAACGCTCCGCCCTGGGGCCCAGAACGAGCCAATCAGAATGAAGAAGAGCCGCAGCGTGCTGTCGGTGACTGGAGAAGAGGTGAGAGTGTAAACAAGAGTGAGAAACCTGCTGTTTGTCGGTCGATACCAGGCGGAGTGTGTGTGTGTCTCCTTGAATGTGCACCATGACATACAAACCTCACACAATCAAGATCCCTTTGTTCGTGTTGTGAACACACTGCGAAGTCAGAGTGGACGGTTTGTCTCCTCCAGCCTCCACCGTCTGTCTCAGTCCTCTTCTTTTAAAGGTGAAGTCTTGGTTGGAGGACATGATACGATGCATTATTCAACACCTCTTTAATTGATTATGCTGACTGAGTGCCCATACAGTTGTGTGTTTGTGTGTGTGTGTGTGTGTATGCGCGTGAGAATGTGAGCATCCTTCCACATCTGGGTCTGGACGACATCAAACGCAGCATGGAAGCAACACGGCACTGTTGCCTAGCAACTGCTGCCATTCCCCCAGTGTTTTGTTGCTACGGTGCTGCAGTGCAGATCAGCCTCCAAGAGCTCGGTCTGTAGAGGCCTTATCCCAGACACACATGCTCACGTGCACGGAGCCACACACACGCGGCGTCACGTGAAAACACACCGTGATCGTTTATAGTCAAATGTGTTTTCGTGGACGTTTTAGAATTGAACGACTCTTGACTTTCTTTTATCAGAGATGTGTTATTGTTAGATGTAAAATGTGAGTGTGTATAAAGAGACGTGGATGTCTTTCTCTCGCTCCACTTCCCTGCTTCCCTCATCTGCCCTCCGTCCTCACAGGGTAATGACACTGATGTAACAGGTGCTGGGGAGAAGGCGGAGTCATCGCGCTACAGCAGATCTTATACATCTGGGGCCACTCTTGGGGCCGAGCTACGCAGAGGGCGGAGCAGGAGACTCTCATCAAGTCTCCAGGTATTGAGAGGAAACTGGGGGCCTGTTAACGTGCTGGGGGGGGCAAACATGAGCCACATGTGCCACACATGAGCTGCACATGTAACCTGTGCCTGCAACAACACAACAAGATAGGAGGGCGCCTGGAGAGTGCATACCCCGCCCACGGCTAACGACCCGTTTCGCCATGTTGAGGAAAGTGGAAAAAACTCAATCCTGGATCCGCCCATTTGTTTCCTCCACAAAATGTTATGTAAATTGGTTGAACTGAAAAACAATCTCAACGAAAACACAACATTAACATGAATGATAATGTTCTTCTATCTCATTTTAAAGAGATAGTTCACCCAAAAATCTACTCACCACTCGGCCGATGGAGGGTTGTGTTCACAAAACACAATTGGAGTTTCAATGGAAGAGTCCAGAAGCCCCGACATTCAAATTCAACTGGAAACGGCGTCGTGTTTTTAGCCTGAATGTCCGGAAGTAACAATGCTGTTAATGCGCATCATTTTTGGGTGAACTACCCCTTTAAATCTGCAGCTGTTTGCTCACATGCAACCTAATTATGCGATAATATGTCGTGTCCTTTTATTTTCATACTGGATGTAAAATAATGGAAAGCGATGCCTTTCTGTAACTACAACAAAAACACATTAAAAAACTTACTTGAAAGTAATTAAATGTGTATTTGTAGCTGCACATCATGAGTTTATTTTAATTTCTACAACAACCTTAAACTAGTTGACGGTGATTCTGCCTCTTGTGTGGCCTTGGAGCAGCTGCTTTCTTTGGTTTTTACCAAGTTCACCTGTAAACTGACTGATGTCCCCTGTCCCCTGTCCTCTGTCTTCCGTCCCCTGTCACTCAAACTCTACCTTCTAACCCAACAGGTGCCCTGCTGGCTCCGGCCACGAGATCGCACCCGTTCACCAGAGGTCCTGAGCAACGTGTCCCGTCCCACAACCCTCCCCCTCCGAATCCCTCCACGCATCTCCATCACACATGCAGACGCCGACAGGTTCACACACAGTTTAACTCTTTTCCCAGCCGCTGCATGACTTCCCCTTGCAGAACTCTGTGCAGGATGTTCCACCTCTGTCCTCCTCGCTGACCCTCACTCTCGTGTTCCAGCTACGAGGCAGAAAATGGCGTGTCACCGGGTCACAGCCCTCTGGGCTCGCACAGTCCAGGCCTCACCCTGCACACCTCCTTCCCCCAGGGTCAGAGAAGAGAGTCCTTCCTCTACCGCTCTGACTCGGACTACGACATGTCACCCAAGACGGTCTCTCGGAACTCCTCCCTCGCCAGTGAAGGGTGAGGCCCCGACTCAAATAACGAGTGGGAGGGGAGAGTGTGTACCTTTAAATGTTGATATTTCAATCAGCTCTTCTCCTTCTCTCTCTCTTTTCCATCTCTTCCATCTGTTGCTCCTCTCAGGCACACAGCAGAGGACTTCATTGTCACACCTTTCGCTCAGGTGAGGTGTTTCACTGAGCTTGGTAGAAACATATGAATTGTTTAAATGTTCCCTGCTGGTTCCAACGGACACAAATAGCTTCTCAGGCATTTGTGATATTTAAATGTAAAGTGTTGGAAACCAGTGTGTGGCATAAAATCTGACATCCCATGATGCTCTGCGATGATTTAGGTTCTGGCCAGTCTTCGATCAGTACGGAGCAACTTCACCATCCTCGCCAACGTCTCCACGCCAACAATCAAGTCAGTACTGAGTAAAAAATACTGTCTCAAAACTTTAAAATAATAAAAACATGTTGTGAACTGGTATCAACACGGTGAATACAGTAGAGGAGCACATACACAAGGCTAACGATGCTGCTGTAAACATGTTGCTAACTTATTCTGCAGCTGCCGGCTGGTTTAACTAACCACCGTGTTTTTTAGGAGGTCCCCTCTGGGTGGAGTGTGCGTCAGTCCCAGGGCGACACTATCAGACCAGCAGTACCAGCAGCTCGCCCTGGACACTCTGGAGGAACTGGACTGGTGCCTGGACCAGCTGGAGACCATTCAGACTCACCGCTCCGTCAGTGAAATGGCCTCCAACAAGGTCAGTGCAGATCACCAGTGCATCACTGTCACAGACGTCTTGTGTTCAGACTGATACGTTCAAAACTTTGTAGAGTTGGACATAGTGACCAGCGTCCATTGTTATGGATCCTTATAGATATATTTGTATATTAAATACATACTTACATGGGAGAATCTCAGTTTATATGTGGGTGGTTACTGATGGTACTTACCAAACTTTAGGAATCGGTCCAGTAGACGGTCTCGGCCAGTAAAAGGCTCAAATCATTATTCTTGTAACTTGTCCTGCAAAACAGTTTGGAAAACTTTAGTTGAAGAGAACAGAAAATAAACGACTCAAATGTTTGTCCTGCTTCTATTATTGTAAAATACACAAAACTGTGAACTCTAAATAAAAGCAACACAAAAATGACTCATTTGACAACATTACAAAAAACACAGGTATAAGTATAATTACAGCTAATTTCTGCCGACATTAGAGCGTGGAGCATATTAAGGTACTGGATCACATACTGTAGTTTTGTAATTCCTCGAGTTTATAAATGAATAACATGAGTTGACTGTTTCCTATTGTCTGAAATTACCTCCGTGTTTCTCCCGCTAACAAACCGAGAGATTGACTTTCTGTTTATTTCTCGTCGTGTCGTTGACAGTTTAAGAGGATGCTGAACAGAGAGCTGTCCCATCTGTCAGAGATGAGTCGCTCTGGTAACCAGGTGTCTGAATACATCTCCAGCACCTTCCTGGGTGAGTGGGACCAGGATCTGATCCCCGTGCACAACAGCATTTACGACTTTCTCAAACAAAAGCAATAAATCCTTCCCTCTCTCTCTCTCTCTCTCT